CACACACACACACACACACACACACACACACACACACACACACACACACACACACACACACAGTGGCATTTCAGTCTCACCGATGTCTGTTGCCCATTTGTTTCTCAACTACTCGTACTTCCATGCCTATGCAAATGGACAGTGCATTTCTGAATTGTTTCCTAGGAACCTTAGCTCAGGAAAAGGTTGCTCACAGCATCAGGATAGAGGTACATAGTTCAGTTCATACCTTGGCAGTGAAAATAGTTTGTGGACCCGAAAGGAAGCCCAATGCTTGAAATACTTGTCCACTTGGATCAGCGTATATCTCTGCCAATAGCAAATGAGGATTGAAAACTCCAAATTCAAACGTCACACATCAAGCCATGCACACGCATCAAAAAGACAGTTTGCCACTTTCCAGTTCGTTTTTTTCTTTTTTTTTTTGGTCTGTGACTCTGTGAGTCACCCTGGCAAGATGAGAATGTCTAGTGAATTTTTTTCTGATGGCACAGTGAGTGCTCTTTCGATGAGAATGTCTAGTGAAAATTTTTCTGATGGCAAACACGTTGTCTTCCGTGCCATAGCAGGGACGATGGAGCATAAAATTTAATCCTAGTAAACGGCAAGATCATAGAATGTTTGACTAGCTACCTACATGGCATGCCATGACCTGAGCAGTGGGAGTAGAAGGGCCATGCAGCATAGCTGTTGCTCATGTCCTCTGATATCAATCTTTTTATCTGCTGAAATACTAGAAAAACATGGATTCGCTAATCTTTTTTCTTTCTTTCTTTTTTTTTTGGAACACATTAACTATGATACATGAACTGTAATGTTTAGAAGCATATGAGGCTGAATGGTTCGCACATGTAACTCTTGATGAACAGATCGTGAGTTTGAATCCTGACGGAATCAGCAAATACAATAATGTTATGGGCTGCCAGCCTGCCACCTTTTAGGGGGAGAGGAGGGGGGGGACAAAGAGGTACTGTGAAGTGAAGGATGAATTTTGCAATGGTGATTCAGAACAATGTTTGCGGTGCTGTGCATCGTTCAGTGTGTGCACGATACTTACTGCTCAGTGCTCACACAATACTCGTTGCTACGCGTTTATCTCGTATATGGAAGCTCGTCACTTGGTAGCAGGGGTGAGAGTGGGAATGATGAGAGCATGGTAGGTATAAGGCCAACTCAGGGCGGGAGCAAGGGGAGGGGGTTGAGGCAGTGGGGGGGAAGGGGGCGGGGGGTGTAGAATCAGCGCTTCGAACACAAGCCGAACACGAGGTGTGCGCATGTGGACTACGCATTTTCAGCGGGCAGGCGAGCAGGCATCTGCACTCACTGTAATGAACTGCAAAACGATGGAGTAGGATTGAAATTTGAAACCTAAGAGATAGCTGCACTCACTGTTTTGAGCTGCAAAATGTTGCAGTAGGAAGACAACCCAAGTGGAGAGGCGGTCGTCAGTATTTCACCATAGGTGCAGAGCACAGCCATTGAAGACATCAAAGAGACATTTTTTTACACTGTTGTAAAAGCTTATGAACATAGCGCTCTGACCATCATATGGGAGAGGCAGTCTTCCATAAAACACACAAGTGCCAAGCTCAGTGGAGAGCATCAACGTTGAAAAGGACACTACCTTTCACTTACGACGACAGTCAGAGTGCTACATAGAAGCAACATCTGGAGAAGAGAGTGCCATAGCAGCAAGAGGCATGCGCCGGGTGCCAGGGCAGTATAGGCACATAATGCCACATGTAGCCTAAACAAACATCGGGTTCAATGACAAGAACGACGAAGATAATCCCAAGCATGGACATCCTGCGAACTACAAGAAGCGGCTGCATATCTTCAAATGCACGAAAGAGCATCTGCACCATGCTACCGTCTTCACCCGAATATGACACCTGGTCATTATAGCCGTATTTGGGGCCATTTTCTGTCCAGATGCAGCGATAATGACCGGGCGTTGTATTCGGGTGAAGACGGTAGTGGACAGACATTCAGCTAGTTTGTTGCTGTATGAGTGATGAAGGAGGCTGAGTTTCCATGGTGGGTCTACATACTGGAATTTTACTATTTTGAGCGAAAATGAGAGTGTGATAGGCAAATTTTGCAGCCAAGAGGTACTGGAGGCTGGGAAGCCAAGAGTATATCATTTTGGTGCAACGATTTGTCCGTTCGTTCACAAAGCAGTCATGCTGCTGTTCCGCCCGGAGGGAGAGTGTAGCACTGTAGCAGAGGAGCACTTGGAGGTGAAGGTGGAGTGTTAGAGTAAGGAAGAAGACCTCCATGGCTATGGCGGAGTACTAGGAGAAGTACGGGAAGCCCTGGGCTATGCAGGTGAAGGGAGAATACCTTCCAGCTGGCTATGAAGCTGAAGGGAGGTTGAGGGAGGAGGAAGGAGGTGGGAACCGAAACGTTGCGAAAATGAGACTTACCTTTGGCTATGGTGGAGTTACATCTTCATCTCTTCCTGTTTAGCGCTGCACCAAGACCCCTGCTGGGGTACCAGTTGGACTGGAGTTCATCTGGAGGCAGCTATGGTGGTGGTTGAGAGTAGAGGGCATGAGGAGAGTAGTTGCATTGTCCGTTGAGCATCCGAGGTAGCTCAGGGATGAACTGTGCCATACATAGTAGCCATATTGAGTGAAGTAGAGAGTGGCTGTGAGCGACAGGAGGGCCCTTTATCCAGTGGCTGAAAGGCGCATTCAGACATTGATTCTTGCCCATGCATTCATCATTATTGTTATACATTTTGTTATATTAATAAAGAGTTGGCGGTGATAATGAGGGGGAGATGATGGTGTTGAGATGAGGAGGGAGATGACATTGGTTCCAGCTTGCAGCTTGTGTTCTTCTTCTTCTTCTTCTTCTTCTTCTTCTTCTTCTTCTTCTTCTTCTTTCCACCATTCTTTTTCTCTCCTGAACCCATTCTTCTTCTCTTTGAGTTGCGATGCATGGCGTCGTCTTACATTTCAGTTTTGCAACATGAAATGGACAGGACCACAGCAAAACAGAAGAAAAGAGAAGGAAAGAGAAGAAAAAAGAAGAAAAGAGAAGAAAAATTAGAAAAGAGAAGACAAGAGAAGAAAAGAAGGATCCGAAAGAGAAGAAAATAGAAGGTGAAGGCAAGCCAAGACAAAGCAAAGTCAAGCTAACCCAAATCAAACCAAATGAAGATGAAAGAAGAGGTGAGCAGACAGAGAAAGCGAAAAGGAGAGGAGAACAGAAGTGAAAGCAACATAAGTCGCCACAGACAATAGGCCTCCCCACACTACTCACGAACACAAGAAAAATAGCAAGTCGAGGCGAACAGTAGAGAGAAAGGGACAGTCTGGGAAACAGATTGTCGAAAGCACACGAACCTCCTGGAAATTTTGTTTGCTGTAAGAATGCGTTTGCCTGCTTGGGTCCCGCATGCCAATTCATAACAGCCCGATCAATGCGATCATTCATTTCACCACAGGTAAATGAAAGTCATCAGCACAAGTAAACAACACAGCAGTTTTCTTAGAGCCTTACCTCTGTCATGACTTCAATAACACCAAACTGTTCCAAAAAAAAAAAAAAAAAAAAAACTCAATCTGGAGTCTGTGGAGTCTGGACCCAATTCTTACAACAGCATGCAAACCACCATAGCAGGGGCCTGTGCATCGCCACATAGAAACTACCGTCTTCACCCCAGTAGAAGGCCCGGGCATCATAGCCGCATTTGGGGCAACTTTCAATCTAGATTCAGCGATAATGACCACGCATTCTATTCAGTTCAGAATCTTCAAATAACAAATCAATGCTGATGACGGGTTGCACGTCGGCCACGTAATGAAAACAAGGGTCTCAGGGCATACTCACACTAGTACTTTCACAAATGTACCTGACTGCAATTACGGCCAGACCAGGATGAATCTGACCGCAATCACGTCCAGAGCTTAGGAACTTTTTTTTTTTCTTTTTTTTTTTCTTTTTCGGAAAAAGTTTGAAAAACAGTATACAATAAAAACCCGTCCCTCTGATGTCCCTGATTCCACTGTGTGGAGTATTGCTATGCAGCCAACTCTCTCTCTCTCTCTCTCTCTCTCTCTCTCTCTCTCTCTCTCTCTCTCTCTCTCTCTCTCTCTCTCTCTCTCTCTCTGTTTTTTTTATAAAGCAGTATTGTCAGCAGGAAGCTTTGCAGGAAGGATTCGAACCCGGTTCCACAAGTAGGAAGCCAGTAACAGTAAGACGCAGGACAAGAGGTTCCGAGCCTACGCAAGAACGATCGTGAGAGCACGTGTCCTGGCTGGCTGCGCACAGTGGGCAGTGTATGCGATCGTGAGAGCACGCGAGCCTATGACTTATAGATAGTTTACAGTGCGTTTCCTCGAGGGACAGGAGTAACTTTGGGCTTTCAGTTAGCACTCCCCCCACCAGGACATGCTATGTACAGTATATAGTATATACTATATACCCCCCACAGTACGACTCCACAGCTACGCATACACATAGGCCTGATCTTGCATAACTTCAGATGCATGGAACACCCACAGGTCTCCATCTATCCTTGCTTCCATGACTCTCAGAGGTTACTCACACTAAGACTTTTCCATATGTATCTGACTGCAATTGCATCCCCCGCCTAGTGTATACGGCCGGAATCACGTCCAAAGCTGATGCAACACCCACTTCACAGAAGTGCAAAGATCAGCACATCTTTCTGCAACTACAGACGTCCTTTTTTTCCCTTTTTTCTCTTAAAAAAGAACAAAAAAGTTGAAAAAACAAAAAAAAAACAAAAAAAAAACAAAAACAAAAAACAGAACCTTATGGTTCTGGCTCCTTTTCCATTCTGGGGAGCATCAGTCCGGTTCCTATTCCACCGGCAAGTCAACAGGAAGTACATTATAGGAATCACACACGCTCTTCCCCTTTACGGTAGGACAGCGCGAGGGACGACATTGATTACTTTTCGCCGGAAGGATGTACCACCCCTCACCCCTGCCTAAGTTAGCCTGATTTCTTTTTTATTTTGATTCTTAAGACTTTGTGAGGAACGAGCCCTCAAGGGGCCCTGTCAGACATCACATGTTCTGGGCTAAGGCCCCAGCAAGCCGAGTGCCCGCCCTAAGTGAAGGCGGGCCTGAATATTCGTCAAAGGCCAAATTTTGACATTTCCATATGTGGGTATTCAGGTTCTCGCAGCACGCCAGTTGGTTGGGCAGACGCGTGAACCTTACTAAGCTGCGTCATACAGTTGGCCCAGGCCTTGACAGTTGCGCCTGGGCACATACACACAAAGCAGGGCCGATACATTGGGAAGCAGGCCATCGGCCTTGGGCACATACACACAAAGCAGGGCCAATACATTGGGAAGCAGGCCATCGGCCTTTGGAAAAGCAGAACTGCTGACGCACCTACCTGGAAGCCCTGCACAGATGCAGCAAACAGCCCAAGTCCGGAGACTCAGGCCATGCCCAAGTGAAAAGGGCCCAGGCCCTCAACTGTAGTCTCGGGCATGGGCGCAGGGTCTGAGGCCCAACCGGAAGCTACTGGAAGCTTCCAGCCAGGCCACACGCAGCATCCAGGAGGCTGCCACTTCCACAAAAGGAGTAGGGCAGTCCAGGCCAGGCATCCTGGCCAGTGCAGGCGATGCGGAAGTGCTGCTGCACTCTCGCTTGATGCTGCGCTGATGCCAAAGGCGCTGACGGGGCGCATAGTGCTGAGGAGGGGCGCTGCAGGGCAGCGGGGCGCAGGCAGCCATAGCCGGGGTGCTGGGCGCCAGGGGGTACAGCGGGCGATCTGGTGGTCTTCAGGGAAGGAGGTGCAGTGTGGGGTAATCAAGGTCTGATTGAGGGTAACGAGATACGTACCTGGTACATGGAGAGAGGTCGGCTATGGTGTTGACAGTCATGTACATTGGTCTTCGAGAGTCGAAGTAAGCCTGTTGTGTGAACCAGCTGTAGGTAGGATAGTCGGGTAGAGTAGGTTGGGCGCTGGGCGCCAGACAGAGAAGAGCAACTCTGGATACTGTGTTGGTGTGGCCTACGGGCTTGAACATTGGATCATTACTTCATTGTATTGCTCTGTATGGATGGTTTCTCGGTGCATTTTGTGCTCTCTGCTTGGGACACGACTACTTGGACAGCTGTGTGATTTTGCAACTTGGTTTTCTCTATATCGTTCACACTCATATTCCCTGCAACTTGGAACGGGCCCAGTATTGTGATCCCTGTAGACTTGCTTAAGTGCGAGGCCTCGTCTAACCTGTTCCTCTAAGTTCCTTTACTGCCAGATTCTCCTCAAGTACTAGAACTGCAGACTTGGTCCTCCGCCTTAGGTCTTGATTAATCCTAAACCCTCTCAGGTCTAGTTGTTAATGCCAATGGCTGCGATTAAAGCCTTTCCTCCCTTTTTTTTTTTTTATCTTTCCTCATTGGCAAACTCTACCTGGTGCTAAAACCCTAAACCCTAGCTAAATTTAGCTAGCCTGCCGAACTCCTAATTGAAATCTCTTCCTATGGTCTGTGTCCCGTATCCTAAGTTATTATCGCGTTAACTGGGGGGTAGTGTTGTTTGTGGAACCATTTGTGGGGTGGAACTCGTAGTTACTTTTGCTGGTTTGAGAAGAGATTGTGTGTGATGTTTGCTGCAGGTCTGGGTTGAGGGGTTGGGTGGCTGTTGTGTTTGGGTGTGTAATGTTGTGGCTGGGGGGGTATGGGTTGGTCTCAGGGTGGTTTGTAGGGCTAGGTGCATGCGGGAGGGGTATGAAGGGTATGAGGGGTTTGAGGGGGGATTAGGACTGTGTGTTTCATTTTGCTGGAGATGAGGTCTATGGGGGTTTGCGGTTTGGAGTGCAGTCTGTTAGTAAAGGACTCTATTGTGCCGTCGCCGGGGGCTGTGTCGTTGCGCGGAGGTTGTTTTGGTCTAGTTGTGGGGGTGAGGGTTCCACATTGTGAAGATTAGGCCCTGAGCTTTGACGATTGCTATCTTACCCATGGCAAGGTAAGTATCCTCAAATGCGGTTTGGAGTTCTTTGGATTTGGGTTCATTCGCTTTCATCTTTCTCTTGACTTTGCGCCATAGGACCCAGTCTTTTGTTTCTACGTGTTGCCTGAGGATACTCCATGCTTCCTGCACGTGCATTGGTTGTTTGTCTATCGTTTCCTGACGTTTTTTTCTCCAGATGGACCATAGTGCTGACTTGCGCAGGATTTGGAATTGGTTGATTTGCAAGGGGGGCCAGTCGTTGGGTGTTGTGAAACCTAGTAGAATAAGGGTAGGGTTTGCTGTGAAATTCGTGTTGGTTATTGAGAACCATATCTGTGAAATCTTATTCCATATGGGTTTGATCTTGGGGCATTGGAGGAAGCAGTGGAACAGGTTCTCCATCTGTCCTTCTAAGCAGTTGGCACATAGTTCATTTAAGGGGTTTCATCTTCTTTTCTTCTTCTACTGCTCAGCCATTGATTGAGTGGGACTGCTAGGTATAGGATTAGCCATCGTAGGCTTTTGGACTTTGGGGGATGTAATGTTGCTCTTTGGTTCCACATAATTTCTTTTAGGGTCTCGGGGTCTACTTCAAGCTGTCTAGTCCAGCGGTCTGCTATGACTGTTTCTGGGGGCGTTGATCAGATTTGTAGTCTAGGCTGGTGGTGTAATTGATCAGACGATTCTTGTGAACTGTTGCTTTAGATTCCATGCCCATTCTGCTGGGTCAAATTCTAAATCCCATATGGCAGAGTAGTCACGCCGACGATAGGCGCCCCTGGATTGGTCGGGGGGCGACCAGCCGACCGTCGGGCTCAAGGTCGAGGGTCGGTAGGCAACCCACCCCCCCCCAAAAAAAAAAAGTCCAGAACCCCAAATAACCCCATAAACACCCCC